TCTCGTATCTATATACTTGACCTCTCACTGAAATTATTTGGATGAATTGTATACTGTAACTTTGTTGAATTAAGTTCCCAGTTTCAATAAAAACTGTACTATTACACCTATGTTTTAAGAGGCTTCAATTTAGAACTATACATTTGATTGTATTGGGTTACTCTTTTTTCGTGACTATTGTGGTGAGTGTTTCAGCCACCTGGGTATTACCCTCTGCCAATATAATGACCGATCAGAGTGAGCATTCTTAACTTATAGGCTTATTATGCCACTTTAACCCCCTTCGGAATTTGACTTGTCCTCAGAGAAGAGGGTAGGGGCCTATGTTCTAAAAGACAATCTCATTTGCAATAGAAACTGTACCAGATATTTCCATACAACTACTGGTTAGTGTTCAATAGCACCCTAGACAATTCAGTAATGGTATATGTTTTAGGGATTTCTGTTTTTCTGATAAATGAGAGAAAAGTGATTGAGTCCTATGTTCCTATCACCAAAAGTACAATTTCCGTCTAAACTAAAGCTAAGTTTACAGGACTATAATTCAGTATTTTTTAGTTAAATAATTGTCTGACTATTTAGTGATGTAGGACAGCCACCTGGTTCATACCTCAGCAAATCTGAAGAGGAAAAGAGTTGTCATTCTCAAGTTATGGGCTTTTTAGTCACCTTTCCCATATGCGGCATGGTCTAATTTGGCTCTTTTTCAGGGATTGGGGTAGTTCTAAAGAACAACCCAAAAAACATTTTTTTCCCCCAAAATAAAATTTGACAACAATCAATTTCATTAATGGGAGACCCTAAAGATAAGAAAAATCATTGTCGTCATTTTTCTACCTCGGGTAAGGGTATCTCGAAAACTAAAGCCTTTTTTGAGGACTTGCTGCTGGACTATAAGTTAATAAGTAAACTTAGATTGCTTCTTATACACAACCAGCTGTGTGACCATCACTCAAAAGGACTTCTTTCTTTCAACTCCTATTCATTAGTTTTTATCTACGGCTTGGATCTGATTTCCTTTTTCTTGAACTTGCTCCAAGAATGTGACTTATCCTTGGACTGGATGAGACTGCACAGGATATTAAATGGAAAGAGACCGCACATGAAGCTTTAGGATAACAAATGACATTCAGAGTCATTAAGTTAATGAATACAACCATTCCAAAGTAAAAAAATAAAGCTGACTGCAGTCACACGGAAGCTAAATTAACTACTGTAGTTTCTTGTGAGAATCTTAGTGTTGAAGCTGTGCGTGTCCTACCAGAAGACTTCGCTGCAGCGGCTGCACTGCACCCTGCGCGCCCGTGGCTCCTGCACCTTGATCACCATGGGACAGTCTGCACCCGGACACAACTGCAACTGGAAGTGACTCTAATGGACAGAAAGAGAGACGTAGTGTAAATTAAAAACAAAACAGGTCAGAAGAAGCAGATGCATCATGATCACAGTTTCCAATCCCGTGATGAGAGTGGCTGGAATTAGCTTTCAATCCCCCTTGGTGAGGTGAGTTCACCCAAAAGAAAGTTGGATGTGCTGAGAAATCCTTAACATTGAGTTCTGTTATCCAGAATACAGAGAACTATGTTTCTGGAAGTAAGTTATTAGAGGTTTACATTTTACTCAATATTATTAGCAAAACAAAAATCTGTCAGTTAGACCTGGGTAAACACAACTAAAAAAAAGGATGAAATGGGTGAATTATCCTTTAAAATTACTATAAAAGTGACTTTAGTTTGCATAAATATACATAGATGGAAAGCCAGCTGGTGATACAGACAGTGAAGAGAGAGAAAAAAAAGAGAGAGATGATTCAGATTTAATGCTGTGTCAAGGAGAATCAAAAAGTCACAAGGGGCTTAGTTTCTCTCCCTTTCCACATGCCTCTGGTGTGTCATTTGCTATAAATGCAGACCTTGATGCAGCATCTGAGTAAACAGATCCACACAGACGGACACACACCTCGACGTAGTCTCTGAAGAGGTAGCGTCTGTATTTGTCCTTCAGCTCCTCTCCTGGCAGCAGCGACAGGACGAAGTCTTCTGGCATCTGCAGGGAACATTCCTGAGCCATACACGATATACCTGAACACACACACACAAATACATTACTAAGAGTCCAGAGTATAGTATGAAGTAAAACGTACACACAGTGCCCTATAAAGGCAACAACTACTGTCTGTGTTTCTGTACTAATGCACCATCAAAACTCAATCATCATTTGAACTTGGTTTGTGAGAGAAAGTCTCTCCGGTTGGGTTTGGTTTCAGCCGGCTGGGTTTCTAGTGTTACAGTGACCCAGAAACGTAATCAGGCTCATCTGTCATCATAAGCGTGTCCTTGGTACAGCTGATAGAGAAACACTTATCAGGCTCTGAAGGACTCTGTTAGGTGGACTGACTATCGGAGAGCACTGTTAGAACACACAAGAGGTACTGCATACAAATAGGCTACCACTCGCACATACACAAGCACCTGTGGTTCCAAACATTAAACTAAAGGACAGGAAGTCTGGTACATCGTATGGACTTTTACAACACGCATATCATTTTTTCTACAGTACCACAGATACCCAGCAAGGATTACATTCTCCAAGAGCTGAAGCCTACCATGCAGAGAAGGAATCTGATCCTTCGAACATGCAAGACATGGTCAAACTATACACTCCATCACATGCACTTTGCTCTGCATCAGCCAATCGGCTTACTTCTCCTTCAGGAGAAAGTTGACACAGGCACCCCTGCACAAAGACACGCCTTTTTGCTATCCTGGTTCCAAAAGGGTGGAACGAGCTTACCACTAATATCAGGACAGCAGAAAGTCTACTAATCTTCACTCGCAAACTGTAAATCCGACTATTTCTCTTGTACCATTTCTCTTGTAAATACTCTGTGAGTATTTCATTACGGAATTATCTTTTTTTACTTTATCCTGCAACCGGATGACTAGCGGGAGGGCTACCTCTGTATAAGCTATGTTTTCTGCCCTCCCCGCCTTCTACTAATCTGGTTTGTTTTGTGGATGTATTCAACTGCCTAATTGTTGAAATAGTAGAATAAATAAAAATTTAAAAACAGAAACAAAAAAAAGCACTTGAGAGTATCAAACTTGATCAACAGTCTGGCTGTTGTTTGAAGTCGAATATAACAGGTTTCTTGTGTTGGTTCTTAGTTGCAATAGTATGATACGCGTTGCACGTTGATGGTGTAATCCGCTTTGGATAAAAGCGTCAGCTAAATGCCAATGTAAAAGAGGAAGATCATTTCCCCACTCAATTCCTATCTCAGTTGTCCGTGCTGCTCTTAAATGACAAAGGTGAAGATGAAGAAGGCATAACCATGACGATGAAGAACAACAACAAGTTAAAGATTGGCCATCAAGTGCAGCTTCGCAACAGCATCACCTCAGCTATTGTTTTGCTTGTGTTCAGTCCATTCAAGTATCGAATCTCTCTCATTTCACTGGTATAGGCAACAACTAATGACAAACCTTTGGCTGCGTCACTTCAATTATGCCGTACAAAATGTTATAATTGGATCTGTGTACAGCTCGCACACTCCCATCGCGTCTCCTGACTGACACAGGCACACGTTCTCCCAGATAGATACACATGCACTCATAATCATAGGGCGTGGGACGGTAAGCCTGCCAGGTACATCTGTACAGCCACATGGGAGTCATTAAATCCTCATATTGCTTCTCACCTCAAAGCCCTATGGCACAATTGCGATTGCGAACAGAGACGCTAAACAAATATAGACCGTGCGGCACAAACATCCAAGTGTCTGTCATTAAAAACGGGTATCCAAGATTGAGTGACTGATACAGCCCCCCCACCTATAATAACATACTGCAACGCCTGCTGCTCTGGCGGTAAAGCAGTAGCCCAAAATAAACTTCCAAAGGAATCAGGAGGCTGACGTTGATGAAACCCAGAGTGGAAAAACACCACAGCAACACATTAAACCAGGCACTTGGGAGCTTCACGGTCAACAAAGTGTGACTCACTCACTCTAATACCAGCTGTGTGCATGACTACCACAGACACCACACCAAACACACTTGCTCAGCCAACTCCCAGGCCATCTTTGACCGTATGACGCCAGTGCTAGTACTGTTCCCAGCATCCTTTGCAGAAGAGTGGCAGGAGAGCCACAGGTGCGCCTCCGATGCGAACGTAGATCACAACCGCATGAGTGGAGCTGGGTGGGCTGAAACCGAAG